AAAATAGATCCAGAGACGAGAAGCATTGAACAGACCATCAAACCTCAGAGGGAAGGCAGGGGGCAGGGAGGTAAGAGATCAGCCAAAGGACTTGTATGCATGCATATAAGCCTAACCAATGGATACAGACAGTAGGGGAGTAAGGGCATGTGCTGGCGGGGGGGGGGGGGGGGGGGGGTTGTGGCCAGGGAGAGGTCAATGGGAGAAAAAGGAGACATATGTAATACTTTAAACAATAAAGAATTTAAAAATAAAAGAAACAAAGAAAGAACAAAATCAGGAACAAAAGAAGCAAAGTAACAACTGACACCACAGAAATACAAAGGATCTTAAAAAAATACTATGAATGACTATCTGCCAACAAGCTGGACAACATGGATGAAATGAACAAATTCTCAGAAAAATACAATCTTCCAAACTGAATCAGGAAGAATCAGAAAACCTGAATAGGCCAATAACAACTGATGAAATTGAAGCAGTAATAAAAAAACTCCCAGCTAACAAAAGCCCTGGTCTGGATGGCTCCACAGAGGAGTTTTAACAAACATTCAAAGAACTAATACCTATCTCCCTCAAACTATTCCCAAAAAAGTCCAAGAGGAAGGAACACTTGCAAGCGCTTTTTTACAAGGCCAGCATTCTCCTAATCCCAAAACCAGATAAAGACACTACAAAGACACTACAGGTTAATATCCCTGATGAATATAGATGCTAAAATCCTCAACAAAATTTTAGCAAATCAGTTCCCGCAATCTATTAAAAAAATCATACATCATGACCAAGTGGGATTTTTTCCAGGGATGCAAGGCTGGTACAATATTCACAAATCAATAAATGTGATACATCACATAAACAAATTGAAAGACAAAAATCACATGATCATATCAATAGATGCAGAAAAAGCTCTCGACAAAATCCAACACTATTTTCATAAACACTATAGGCAAAGTGGGAATAGAGGGACCATATCTCAACATAATAAAGGTGCTATATGACAAACCTACAGCCAATATCATACTGAATGGGCAAAAACTGAAAGCATTTCCCCTATGAACAGGAGCAAGACAGGGATGTCCACTTTCACCACTCTTATTTGACATAGTATTAGAATTCCTAGCCACAGTGATCAAACAAGAAGAAATAAAAGGCATCCAAATTAGAAAGGAGGAAGTAAAACTGTCATTATTTGCAGATGACATGATATTGTACACAGAAAATCTTAAGGTTCTACAAAAAAACTACTAGATTGAATAAATGAATTCAGCGATGTAGTAGGATACAAAATTAACAGCCAGAAATCAAGGACATTTTTATACACCAATAATGAATTCTCAGAAAGAAAAACTAAACGAACAATCCCATTTATCATTTCAACAAGAAAATTAAGATACTTAGGAATAAACTTAAATAAGGAGGTAAAAGACCTGTACTCAGAAAACTATAGGACATTGAAAAAAGAGATAGAGGAAGATATAAATAATTGGAAAAATATACTGTGTTCATGGATTGGTAGAATTAACATCATAAAAATGTCCATACTACCCAACGCAATCTACAGATTGAATGCAATCTCTATTAAAATACCAAAATCATATTTCAAAGATCCAGAACAAATACTCCTTAATTTTATATGAAACCAAAAGACCCTAAATAGCAGTAGCTATCTTGTGAAAGAAGAACAAAGTTGGAGGGATCACAAAGCAGATATTAATTTATACTGCTAAGCCACTGTAATCAAAGCAGCCTGGTACTGGCACAAGAACAGCATATAGATCAATGGAACAGAACAAAGAATTCAGAAATTGACCCAAGCCATTGTGCTCAATTAATATTTGACAAAAGAGGCAAGAGCATACAATGGAGTAGAGACAGTCTCTTCAGAAAGTGGTGTTGGGAAAATTGGACAGGTACATGAAAAAAAAAAGAAACTAGACCACCAACTTACAGCATACACATGAATAAACTCAAAATGGATAAAAGACTTAAATGTAAGTGGTGAAAACATAAAAAATCTTAGAAGAAACCATAGGCGGCAAAATCTCAGTCATTTCCCAAAACAATATGTTTGCCAATACATCTCCTAGAGCAGCGGTTCTCAACCTGTGGGTCGCGACCCCTTTGGGGGTTGAATGACCCTTTCACAAGGGTTGCCTCCATCGGAAATCACATATATAATTACATATTGTTTTGTGATTAATCACTATGCTTTAATTATGTTCAATTTGTAACAATGAAATTGAGGGTCACCACAACATGAGGAACTGTATTAAAGGGTCGCGGCATTAGGAAGGTTGAGAACCACTGTCCTAGAGCAAGGGAAACTAAGGAGAAAATAAACAAATGGGACTACATAAAAATAAAAAGCTCCTGCACAGCAAACAAAACCATCAACAAAACGAAAAGCATGCCCACCCTATGGGAGAACATATTTGCCCATGATACATATGATAAGGAGTTAATTTCCAAAATATATTAAGGAATTCATACAACTTAACAAAAGGAAGACAAGCAATTCAATTTAAAAATAGACAAAGGACCTAATCATCAGAGAGATGCAAATTAAAACAACAATGAGGTATCACCTCACACCTGTCACAATGGCTATCATCAACATATCAACAAATGACAAGAGCTGATTAGGATGTGGAGAAAAAGGAACCCTAATATACTGCTGGTGGGAATTCAGACTGGTGCAGCCACTATGAAAAACAGTGTGGAGTTTCCTCAAAAATTAAAAATGGAACTGCCATTTGACCCAGTTATCCCATTTCTAGGAATATATCTTAAAACACCGATCAGAAAGAATATATGCACCCCTATGTTCATAGCAGCACAATTTACAATAGCTAAGATATGGAAACAGCCTAAGTGCCCATCAGTATATGAGTGGATAAAAAAGCTGTGGTACATTTATACCATGGATATTATGCAGCTATAAAAAATAAGGATCTCTTACCCTTTGAAACAGCATGGAGGGCTCTGGAGAGTATTATGCTCAGTAAAATAAGCCAGTCAGAGAAAGACAAGTATCACATGATCTCACTCAGATGTGGATTCTAATGGACAAAATAAAGTGACAAACAAAATAGATCCAGAAGACACAGAAGCATGGAACAGACTGACAAATATCAGAGGGATGGTGGGGGTGGGTGTTGGGTGGGGAGGGATTAACCAAAGTATTTACATGCATATATGTATAACCTATTGACACAGATAATAGTGTGATAAGGCCTGGGGCTGGGACATGGTGGAGACGGTCAATGGGAAACAAAAGAGGACTTCTATAATACTTTCAACAATAAAGATAAATTTAAAATAAATAACTAAATGTTAGTAACATTAAAAAAGTAACATCAAGATGAGTTTTTGACCAATCAACTGGGTACCATACAAGTTACATTTTACAATAATTATGTTATTTATATTTATGCTTATTACATATTATAGTATTATTATTGTTATTATATATCTGTTAAATTTTATAAAGTTACAGTGACCCAGTGTATGAATTCATGCACATTGAAAGGACATTAATTAGAAGAAATATTTTAATATCACTATTCACCCTTTCTCTATAATAGAAGTGTCAACCAAATTCACAATCAACAATGACAGATCAAAACACATGTGTGCGATTGGCGCCAGTGAGAGCTTTATATGTATCGCACATACATGAGTCAACATAGCCTTTTATATATATAGAATAAACTTGCTTAATTAGACCTGCTTTCTGATGTAGCTAAACTTTTTCCAGCCCAGTGAAGCACCCCAACTTCTCTTTCAGGTAATTGTCAGCAACATAGCAGTAAATATCACCATGAAGCAGATTATTATTGTAGATCACACAGGGAGAACAAAGGATAAAATATTTAACTGCAGCAGTGTTTGACTACCTGAAGTGAGAAAACCTGAAGTCATTTTCAAGGTCCACCATTTCTTACTTGTTTTCAGTCAGGTCAAGTTTCTAAACTTTCTAAATCTCCGTTTTCCAGGACTTCTGTGAGGATCAAATGAGATGAGGCACAGGAAAATGCTTCACAGATATTTGGTTAAAGTGTGAAATGTTTGCACTTGGCTATAAAGCAAGTTGTATTCCTGGGCTGAAGAAACTCCAAGGAGGCTAGTCGCTAGGGAGAGGAAGCCGGGTGTTGCTATATGACATCATTACCCAGCGCCCACAGCCACCGTTTCTGGGCTGGACTCGGCTGTGGGTCGCATTTTGCACCATAGGGTCTCAGCAGTGTTGGCTGTGATTTGGTGGGCTGTCACTCCAGGGTGGTGGCGGGGCCTGTGTCCCACTTGGGGGAAGCCGAGTGTTGCTTTGTGGCTGTCAGGTCCACAATGCCAGTGCGCGTCATGGCAGCTCCTGCATTGAGCATCTGCCCCCTGGTGGTCAGTGCATATCAAAGTGACCAGTTGGATGGTCAGACACTTAGCATATTAGCCTTTTATATATATAGATAATTTTATGTGCCACATAAAATTAACACATTGCGTACCGCATAGAAATCTCTAAGACATACGCCAGGGACCGCACGTTTTTGGGCAAACTGCACATTATTTAAATCATCAAAATGCACTTTAGGTGTTGTTATTCAGTAATTATAACATTTTTATTTACAAGAACAATTAAACAATTAAAGTTCCTAGTACTTTTTTAACGTATGGTACTGCGTAAAACATTTTCCTCTATGAAGAGGGGCCAAACAAAATTTACATAAGTATCTAGATTCGCTCCTTTTTCCATGGGCGTGAAAAACGAGAACACTCGTGAGCCGTCCTTAACAGATGGCGTGTGAAACATGAGAAAATTCCTGAGCAGTACGAAATGTGTTAAGCATCACAGTGAAACAAATCAAGGTCATTGAACTCCTGAGCCTGGGAGAATGATAAAGACAAATGTTTCCTACCAATTCTTCCCAGATTGTGACCAACCCCAAATTTCTCATTGTTATATCTAAGGACTTAAGGACTTATTTCTCATGGTCCTGAATACAAACCTTCACTCACTGAGTCAAGCCAGCTCTGCCTCTCTCCAGTTCAACACCACTCCCCAGTGCGCCATGGCTACTCCTGCTTTATGAAGCCCAATCTCTGCTTATCCAGATCTTCCACTTCTTTCAAGTTTATGCTCAGGGCACTGCTTCTCAACCAAGATTTTTTTCATACATGCGCTCAAATGAGAGGTGGCATTTCCCTTCTGACTAAATGAAAAAGAAAAGATATAATAAATCATCATCAAAAAAAAAAAGTGCCACAGTTAGAGAAATGAAACCTGGAACCGAAGTTTTTCCCTCTGCATATTAGTTAACCTGAAGGAGTCCACCTCCAGAAGGGTCTACATTTGGGAGAGCTATTCTCTACCATTCATGACACTCAAGAACGCTGCAGCTTCTCTCAAGATAAAAAACATGTATTAATAGCTGTGTTTTTTCTTAAATAATTATTTATTTTTTCAATTAATAGAATATTTCTAGAGCAGTTTTAGGTATATAGTAAAATGAGCAAAATACAGAATTCCCATACACCTCTCTTCATTCCCTGCACTGAGTTTCCCCTATTATTAACATCTTGCATGAGTATGGTACATCTGTTATAATTGATCAGCCACTACTGACACATTATGGTGAAGTAAAGTCCAAAGTTACCTTCAGGTTCACTCTTTGTGTTGTACTAGTACATTCTATGTGCTTTGACAAATGAATAACAACATGTGTGTACCATTACAGTACCCTACCGTATAGTTTTACTGCCCTAGGGATCCCTTGTACTCTACCTCTTCATCCCGCCCTCCCTCCCCCTGACATTTGGAAACTACTGATCTTGTTATTGTCCCCATAGTTTTGCCTTTCCCAGAATGTCATATAGGTGGAATCATACAGTATATAGCTTTTTCCCAGTTGGCTTCTTTCACTTAGCAATATGCAGTTTAGCTTCTCCCATGTCTTATCATAGCTTCATAGCTCATTTCTTTTCATTGCTCAATGTTCATTGTATGAATGTACCCCAGCCTGTTTATCTGTTCAGCTACTGAAGAACATCTTGGTTGCTTCCAAATTTTGGTAATTATGAGTAAATCTATAAACATTCATGTGCAGGTTTCTGTGGACATTTTTAACTCATTTGGCTAAATATCAAGGAGTTTGATCGCTGGATCTTAAGGTAAGAGTTTTTACTTTGAGGTTGGGGGTGGAGAACTGTCAAACTGTCTTCCAAAGTACTTGTATTCTTTGGTATTCCCACCAACAATGAAAGAGTACCTGTTGCTCCGCATCCTCACTAGCATTTGGTATTGTCAGTGTTTTGAATTTTAGCCATTCTAATAGGTGTGCACTGCTACCTTGTTTTAATTTGCAATTCCTTAAATACATGATACCAAGCACCTTTTCTTTTTTTTTTAATTTTTAAGAGAAAGGGAGAGGGAGAGGGAGAGATTGGTATGAGAAACATTGATCAGCTGCCTCTGGCATGTGCCCCAACTGGGAATGAAACTCATAATCTGGGTATGTGCCCTGACCAGGAATCCAACCTGCCACTTTTGGTGCATGGGACAACAGTCCAACCAACTAAGCCAAACCAGCCATGGCTTGAGCACCTTTTTTCATAATTATCTGCCATTTTTATATCTTCTCTGGTGAGGGGTCTGTTCAGATCTTTTGCCCATTAAAATACAAAAGAGTTGTTTGTTTTCTTAATGTTGAGTTTTAAGAGTTCTTTAGATATTTTGCATACCAGTCCTTTATCAAATATGTATTTTGCAAAGATTTTCTCCCAATTTGTAGCTTTATTCATTCTTTGAATGGTGTCCTTTGAAGAAAAGAAGTCTTTTAATTTTAATGAAGTCCTACTTATCAGATTTTTCTTTCACAGATCATTTTTTTTGGTGTTTTATCTGAAAAGTCGTCAGAAACACCAAAGTCACTTTGGTTTTCTCCTAATTTATCTTTTAGGAGTTTTGTCATTTTGTACATTTAAGCTCATGATTATTTTGAGTTACTTTTTGTAAAAGGTGTGAAAGTTATATAGATTCATATTTTTGCATGTGGATGTACAGTTCCAGCACCATTTGTTGAAAAGACTAGTTGCCTTTGTTTCTTTATCAAAGATCATCTCATATAATAAAAGTCTAGGTGGCGTCATGTGTGACATCATCACAAAATGGCCAACACAAGATGGCCACCTCACGTTGTCTCGAGATGGCCACTACAAGATGGCCAGCAGGGAAGGGCAGTTGTGGGCGATCAGGCCTGCAGGGGAGAGCAGTTGGGAGCAACCAGCCCAGCAGGGCAGGGCAGTTGGGGGTGAATAAGCCAGCAGGGGAGGGCAGTTGGGTGCAACCGGGCTGACAGGGAAAGGCAGTTGTGGATGACCAGGCCTGCAGGAGAGGGCAGTTGGGGGTTACCGGGCCTGCAGGGAGGGCAGCTGGGGACGATCAGGCTGGCAGGGGAGCAGTTAGGCATCAATCAGGTAGGCAAGGGAGTGGTTAGGCGCAATCAGGCAGGCAGGCAGGTGAGCAGTTAGGAGCCAGAAGTCCCAGAGTGTGAGAGAGATATCTGTCAGTCGAACATCCCCCAAGGGGACCCAGATTGTAGAGAGGGTGCAGGCTGGGCTGAGGGACACCCCCCATGCACAAATTTCATGCACTGGGCCTCTAGTTTAACTATATTTGTGTGGATCTATTTCTTGGCTTTTTATTCTTGGACTAGAGGCCCAGTGCATGAATTTGTGCATGGGTAGGGTCCCTTGGCTTGGCTGGCAATCTGGGCCAATTAGGAGGGCTGACTGCCTGGGGGGAGAGACCCTGGGAGGTTGACCAGCGGGGGGAGGGACCATGGGAGGTTGGCCAGTTGGTCTGGGGGAGGGGCTGCAGTAGGTTGGCCGGCCAGGGGGATTGGCCTGAAGTGGGAGCGCCGCTCATCCTGGTCAGCCAACTGGCTGTAGACCCGCCCTCTGAGCGGCTATTCCCTGGTCCGGCATCTTCTGTGGAGCCAGAGCACTTGCCTCTCCAGGGGACCCAGTTGGGGCTGGGCCCAGGGAGACAGTAGCACTGAGAGGTGGCGGAGTAGGCCTCAGTCTCGTGGCAGCCATGAACCTGCCTCCCAGCCTCTGGGTCAGCTCTGCGAGCCCAGTGGTGGTGCTGCGTGGCCTATGGGCATCTGGAGGAGGCAGAAAGGAGCAAGGAGGAGGAGCCCTTGGTGAAGAGGCAAAGACCGCAGCCCAGGTTCCTGCCCATCGGCCTGGGGTTCGCAGTGAGAGCAGCCACTCATCCCATGAGCCAAGCGGCACTCCCACTGTGGTAGCATACTGACCATCAGGGGGCAGCTCCTATGATGAGTGTCTGCCCCCTGGTGGTCAGTGCGCATCATAGCGACTGTTTGACCAGTCGTTCTGGTACCTCTGCCATTCGGTTGCTGTGCTTTTATCATATAGGATTGGGATTGCAGTGAGTCTATAGATCAAGTTGAGAAAAACTAACATCTTAACAATATTGAGTCTTCCTACCCATATGCATGGAATCTCTGTCCATTTATTTATATCAGGGGTGGGAAACCTTTTTCTGCCAAGGGCCATTTGGATATTTATAACATCATTCACGGGCCATACAAAATTATCAACTTAAAAATTATGCCCAACCAGTGTGGCTCAGTGGTTGAGCATCAACCCATGACCCAAGAGGTTAGCAGTTCAATTACCAATCAGGGCACATGCCCAGGTTGTGGGCTCAATCCCCAGTACGGGGTGTGCAGGAGGCAGCCAATCGATGATGTTTCTCTCCCATGGATGCTTCTATCTCTCTCTGTACCTCTCCCTTCCCCCTCTCTCTAAAAATCAATAAAAACATATTTTTTAAAAATTACCCTCCTATATTTTGTCAAACATTTAATTAATTTACCCCTAATGCATTGGCAGGGCCAGACCAAATGATTTTTCGGTCCCTATATGGCTCAAGGGCTAGACTAGACATTCCCCACCCCCGATTTAGATCTTTGATCTCTTTCATCAGAGTTTGTCATTTTCCTTGTATAAATCTTATACATATTTTCTTACACTTATATCTAAGTATTTCATTTTTTTTTGGTGTGAATGTAAATGGTACTGTGTTTTTAATTTCAAATTTCACTGTTTGTTATTGTTATATAAGAAAGCAACTGATTTTTGTGTATTAACCTGTATTGTGCAACCTTGCTATAATCATTTATCAGTTCCAGGAGTTTTTTTGTTGTTAATTCCTTGGGATTTTCCACATAGGTGATCATGTCATCTGCAAGCAAAGACAGTTTTATTTCTTCTTCCTTGACCTACATTCCCATTTTTCCTTTTTCTTATCTTATTGCATTAGCTAGGACTTTTAGATGATCTTGGATAGGAATGGTGAGAGTGGACATCTTTGCCTTATTCTCAATCAAATGGGAAAAAATCTAGTTTCTCACCATTAAGTATGACGTTAGCTGTAGATGTTTTGTAGATTCCCCCTTTACCCATGGAGGATATGTTCAGGACTCTCAGTGGATACCTGAATCCATGTATAGTACCAAACCCTCTATATACTATGTTCTTTCCAATACATACATATCTAAGATAAAGTTTAATTTATAAATTAGGTATAGTAAAAGATGAACAATAACTAATAATACAGTAGAATTATAACATCCTATCTAATAAAGAGAGAATATGCAAATTGACCATCAAGCTTTAACAAGATGGCTGCGTCCACAATGGAGGCAGGGATTCGGTAATGAGCCTTAAGGAGCAATCAGCAGGGACCTGAAGCTGCATGGTGCTGGGCTGGGGCAGGGGACCTGAGGCTGTGCCCCCTGCCTGGTGGGGCTTGACAGGGGACCTCAGGCCGTGCCCCCCACCCCAGCGCCAGGCCAGAGGACCTCAGGCCATGACCCTGCCCCAGCGCCAGGCCGAGGGACCTTAGGCTGTGTCCCCTGCCCAGTGGAGATTGACAGGGGACCTCAGGCTACACCCCCCCGCCTCGGTGCCAGGCTGGGGGACCTGAAGCCATGCCCCCTGCCAAGTGGGGCTTGACAGGGGACCTCAGGGCACACCCCCCACCCTAGTGCTGGGCCGGGGAACCTCAGGCCGCACCCCCCGCCCCAGGCCAGGTGACCTGAGGCCACGCCCCCCACCTGGCAGGGCTTGACAAGGGTGGGGCCGGCCAGGTCTGGATCTAGCCCAATGGAGGTGGAGCCTCTGA